GAACGTTATTTTTTACCTGAGCCGGGTTCGTAACTTCCGAAAAAAAGAACGGTCGCTCTTTCACCGTGCCAATTCACTTGTTCGTTTCGCCGTTTACTTTTTTATTTTTCATTTATTTATTTATTTATTTTTTTCCCTATTATTATTTACACTCGCGTTCGCTAGAGAAAGAAGAGGGAGGAAAGAAGAAACAATTGTTCCAGAATAATTTAATTCTCAAAACCAAATCATCATCCGTTACGTTGAATCCATTACGAGGATTTCGAAAGGAAGGAATCTGATTCCAATCTTTTACATTCTTTTACATATATATATATTATTATATATATATTATTTTTTTCTTACGAGTAACACTAGAATTATTATTATTAACGTTCTTTTTTTCGGAAGTTGGACCCTGGCCATTTTACCATCTTATAGTCCCGTTTCGTAGATCTTTGTACGCGGACGCCGTTATCACACCGTGACTCTGGGTATAGGATTCTAAGAAAGGGGAGTCCCGTATAGGCGTCAATTTCTTCTCGCTGCCCGTACCGATTTCATCGATAAAATGTTTCGACTGTGTCCCTACGACGTGGCACCGATTCACCGGGCCGTTCCTCGATCGATTATTCCCGTTAACTGTTTGATAATTAATAGACTGATTCAGCTTCTCGATATTGCTAGGGTTACTTCGAAGTATCATCCGGCAATCCGTGTTATTTCTCGTTCGGCAAGGGAACGACTGGGTTTGCTCTTCCACGCGCGATGGTATCGTCTGATTCAAGTAGTTTCGGATAGCTAAATTCTTCACGGTGGGATGGTAAGTATTGTACAAAGATTCGGTGCTGTTGTTTGCGTTATTCTTGTTGTTGACGGTGCTGTGATACTTAAGGTAATAAGAGGGTGTGCTGTCAGGCGTCCTCGCAAAGTACTTCGTCTGCGGCCCCTTCGGATTCTCGTAACCGAACGAAGTCCTCTGCCGATCCTCCTCGCGCCAATTCGTCTCGGACGCGAGTCGATTTGTCGTGCGGATCTGTTTGTTATTCCTTCGCAATTTGTCCCGATTGCTAGATCCTGCTTGATTCGCTCTTTTTCCAGGAGCGCACTGAAATTGTCAAATTGTCAAAAAAAAAAAAAAAAGAAAGAAAAGAAAAGAAAAGAAAAGAAAAAAGAAAAGAAAAGAAAAGAAAAAGAAAAAGAAAAAAAAGAAAGAAAGAAAAATCGATACGGATTAAGAATGCGGTGTCGAATTGTGAATGAAACGTGAAATTACGTGGAAGAGAATCGTATCGGGGACGAAGGTGAATTGAGCGGGTGAAACGAATTTGATACGATTTAATTTCGAGTATGGGAAAGATAACGTGTCGAATTAACGTGCGAGAAGCAGTGATTTGTGACACTGTATAAATAATTACGGTACCTAAATGAATCCCACGCGACACGTAGCCTGTAACGACAGAATCGTCTTTTTACTTTTAAGCGAAGGACGGGAGTTATGCGCAAGTATAAAGAAAGAAGAGACGTAAAGGATTCTTTTTTTTTTTTTTTTTTTTTTTTTAAAGAAATTCTCTGTTCTCTTACCACCACTGGTTGATCGGATTGTATCGAACGTTGAGATTTGGATAATGGTCGGTGTTGTTGATTCAGATATAAACAGCTTTTGGTCGTGCTCGGTGTCAAATTAGTCAGATTGCCGTTCACAAAGTTGTGCGTGTACTGAGTTGCCACATTTTTAACTGGTGGATATTAAAAAAAAAAAAAAAGAAAAAGATTCGTCAAATTCTTCAATTTTTGTCCAAAGCATCAATTGCTATTAATACCACTTACCAGGTGGTCGAAGATTTTTTGGATTTTGCGTCTGCATCTCCATAGTTATCGATCTCGTCTTCGTAACTCTTTCATCACTAAAAATTTGCGAATGCCGTGTCGTCTTTTTGCTTGGCAGCTGCGAACGTACTGCGTTAAAAGTAAAGAGCACGTTTTCTCACACGTTTCTCCCCTCGATTAATCAATCGGTTCGAACATTAAATCGTTTCTAAACAACGTACCTTCTACGTAAGAGGGCTCGTATGCGTCGCTTCTACCTCTCTCCTTACGTAAATCTTGATATGAGTGTGTAAGATTTTTACCAACAATCGCGTCGCCTTGACCGATAACTGGGTTACTATTACTACTAACTGTTTCCTTCCTGATGTGCTCCGATAATCGCCTGATTCTGGACTTAGACCTGTTAATACGTCCCGATATATCAAGTTTAAATTATAGTAATAATCGTTTATCATCGGTAAAATATCGATATATATATATATACATACATATTCTTATGCTTGCGATGCTTCTCGTCCATCATCGAATAAAGCTTATTTCTGTACTCGTCGACGGAGAGCTGTACATCGTCCCTGAGCAGAGGTACCACGCTCGAACCTCTTTCCGGTTCGTTGCTTCTTCTGTGAAAACTGCGAAACGAATAACGTCGTTAATGGATAGATCAATTTATTTCTCTTTTTCTCTCTTTCTCTATTTTTTTTGCGAGAGAGAGAGAGAGAGAGAGAGAGAGAGAGAGAGAGAGAGAGAGAGAGAGAGAGAGAGAGAGAGAGAGAGAGAAAGAAGAGAGAGAACCAAGAACAACGTACGTACTCGGCCACATAAGGATGTTCCAGAGCCTCTACAGCGGTTAATCTGTGATTAGGATTGAATACTATAAGATTGCTGATGAGGCTCAATGCTTTCTCCGACACCTCTGGCAACAATTCCTTCAACGAGCGTCTCGGTGCATTCGGCGTTTTTTCCAACAAATTGGTGCCGTATCCGGCGCTAACCGAAATCAGATCTGAAGAAAGATCACAGTGGATGGATCGAGTGAGATCGATCGTCGCGCGTCTACATCGTGATATATATATATATATTCAGATTTCATCAGAAGTAATTACCTTCTCTTGTAGGTGGCGGAAGAGTGGCCATTATTCTCTCCACTTGATTTATCGTCGACGAACCAGGAAACAATGGCTTTCCAAGCAGCATTTCGCCGAGAATACATCCGAGCGACCACATATCGATACCCTTCGTGTACCTGAATATGTAACGATAGCCGATCAATTTACGTAAACGTAGCTATGCGCGTGTGTATGCATAACGGGATACCTTTTCGAAGCAACGAGGATTTCCGGTGCCCGGTACCAGCGAGTCGCCACGTAATCCGTGAGCGTAGGATCGCTGGCAGTTTCACCATCTCCTTCGCCTATTTGAGTGACCGACCGTGCCAGTCCAAAATCAGCGATTTTACAATGACAATGAGCATTTAGTAGAACGTTTGATGGCTGGAACGAACGTAAACGTGGCAGTCATTCCGATGGGAATGGAAATCAATTATTGTAGACCGTCTCACCTTCAGGTCTCTGTGTATCACGTTCCCCGAATGAATGTATTTGATCGCCTTAAACAGCTGATACATGATGAACACCTTGTGGAGGTCCTTCAGGATCTTGCCCTTTTTAATCACGTTGTGGAGATCGGTTTCTGGGGAAACGGGCCGAAACGGGTTTCAGGCCAAAAGTCTGAGAATCACCGCGGCATGTGACCTTTTTTTCGTATTTCTTCTTCGGACCGGGTAAAACTCACCCATGTACTCGAACACGAGATAAATGTCCCGGTCGTTGTTCGCCTTGTGAAGACCGATCAATCGTATGATGTTGTCGTGATTGGCGAACGACAGTAAGAACATTATCTCACGGAATGTGCGCTGTGCGTCCGTCTGGTTTCTGAAGGCGTCGAAGATCTTCTTCACCGCTACCGTGTCCTTGTTTTTCTTGTCTATCGCCTTCCATACGATACCGTAAGCCTGCAGGAAGATCGAACATCGAGAACATTGTTTTCCGTCCAAACGCATATATATATTTTACCAAACGTTCCGACAAAATTTACTCCGATTTGTCACGAAACGCAAACGGTGAATACACGTAGTCTTGTCCTTAGACATGACATTCGTGTCGTCGTGATCGTGATTATCATTGCTAACTGCTCGACTATCGATTACTTCCGGTTATATGCTTTTCCGCGATGGACGTACCACGACAACTGTTATCGATAATTCTATACATATGCCACGTTTACTAATTCCTTCAGCCTATTCTTTGTATTACGTGAAAATAATCTTTCTTTTTTTTTCCTTTCTTTCGATCGTACGATGAATGGAAGAATCTTTTCAAATTATTTTGTCACACGCTTTCTAAAATGCTAAATATTTCATATAGAGATCGGAAGAAATGGGAAAAGTAATGTTGGGATAAAAAATTTCAAAATTGTTTGACGTATTACGATTTGAGAAGTTGTGATTGAATACACGTGATTCGTGAAAATAAAGAAAATGAAGAAAAAATTACCCCTTTGCCAAGACGTCGAACGATGTCATAATGTTTGCTGACGTGTGCATCGATCTCCAAAACCTTTTCGTTGGTATTTTTTGACGACATCGCGATTAAAGGTGGAAACGATGAAACTTTACGAACTGATACGGCGATCCGAAGGATTGAGGACGTACGAAAATTTTCAGACGGAAACGGCGTTTAAGGACCGTAACGCATTCACATCTTTACACATCAGGAAGGAAGCTCTACTTGATCAGCTTTTCATTCGACCTTTGACACATCAATGTGGCTATGTTTATAGAATTCATGCCAGTTACTATGACGACAATATTCAATGCTACTCATGGTTACCAACGACATTGCGTGACTATTTGTCCAATGTCTGTAGGGAATAAAAGTAACAAAAAGGAAAATAATAAATACGTTTAATTTTTACGTTTAGAACGTAAATATATATATATATATTTTTTTTCTTCAAGTCTCGTACAAACTGATGTGGCCAACGATTATGAATCTCGTTCGACATTTACGCATTTAATAATTATGCTTATTAAGTAGTGTGATACTTTATCGCAGTGGAAAACTATATAATAAGATGTACACGTTAATGAAATTTCTTATTAACATTTAAAAAAAAAAGTAAGGATAAAATGCACGAAATTAAAAAATATATAGCCTTCGCAATATTACACAACTTGAAATACTGGTCCCGAGAACAATTAAAAACATTTCATTATATAACTTGAGATTAAAAGCACACTATCATGTTACAATCTAATCTAAAAATTGCGCTCGAATGATACATTGCTTCGATAAAATGCAGTAAGTTTGTCTAAATGCCGATACAGGAATCTCGTCGGCGCTGCGTTAAAGATAAATTCTTTTTTTTTTTCTTTTTTTTAATAACAGTAATAAACTCTCGTGAGGTACTCTGTTTCATATCATATGAAATCAAAGCTTCTTGGATGAAGAACAATATGTTTAGAAATTTGCAAATACATAAAGTATCTATATCCCAAGAAACTTTTAAGTACACATATATATAGATATTTATTATCATTCATTCTTTCTTTTTTTTTTCCTTTTTTTTTTATTCAATGGATAAGTATATAGGCTAATGTTTTTTACAATAGCCTATATTTGTATGTAAACAATAAGCACATCATTCACTTCCTTGGCTGGTGAATAATGATGGGACGTGTACAGTGAGCTGGACGTGCATCATGAGTTGGTACAGGTTTTTCATGGAAGACTTGTACGGCTTCTGGAGGAAAATCTGCATTTCCTTTTGCAGGAACTCCACTAATCATCAGAGTTTTAGGTGGACTAAAAAAATTGAAAAAAAAAAAAAAGAAATTTTATTAATCATATTATTAAGAAATCATGAAAAATAATATTATTCTTTCAATTATTTTAATTATTTCAAGATAACATTATTTTTGTTGTTGTATATATATATCCATTTTGTTCGTCCTATATTGCATTTTGACGCGTAATACGGATTGTGACGATTTATCTCAAGTATGGCAGATATTGAATATTAGGCTACGTATATTAGCGACTTTAAATAAATGTTGTCTCAAAAATCATTTATACTTTTATCGGTATTTTCATTTTTTAACGAATAATCATAAATTAAATTGCACAATGATTTCCATTTACATCGAAAAGTGAAATTATTTGTTATCAAAGATTGAAAGATATTTACCTACTCGATGGTTTACTTTCATCCACATCTTTAAGTGGTTTTATTTCCCGATCTTCTTTCGGTGTTTTGTGTTGGGTGATTCTCATTCCGCCTGCTTTTACTGTGAAAAAAAAAAAAAATATAAAATAAATTTTTTTATTGAAAGAAAGTTATATCGTCAGATGGCCTTGAAATATCTAGACAGGTGCATACGACGTCATTCAATGCGTAGTAAACATATTAACCTTTTTCACTTTTGAAAAAAATTATGACGATTTAGTTACCTGCAGGAGGATGTCCACCCTTAAGTTTGCACTCTTCTGGACTTGACATTTAATTACTAATTAACGTTAATTAGTAAGCTAAAATATAATTAAAACACCTATTTTGTTTTACGGTATAACGCCTTGTACTGAGGTACCAATCACACTGGCACGATGGCGGCCGGCGCTGTAACAAGTATATAGATGATAGCAGTGGGGAGAATAATTTTCAAGTGTTTATTTTTTTATCATTTGATAATTTTATTATATCTTTTTTATAGTAAATATTGAGTTTAGAATTTACTTCCAATATTGAAAAATTATATTCATGTCATTTATTGAAATGATGAAATAAATAATTTAAAAATTTTATATTTAAAGGAAAATTTTATTAGAGAAAACATTTGACAAGATATAATAAGCCATATATATTATTAATTAAGCTTCTTTTCTTTTCGTTCTTGATACATATAGTGAAGGTCTTTACAATCTTCGTCAGAAATGTGTACCCATCCCGTTGACTTTATGTGATACACTGTAAAAAATTCATTTTTTTTAATATATCGTGTAATTTTTTTTTCTATGTAATTACATACCTCTTACAATACCACCAGAGTAAGCATCTCTATGAGTGGCATGATAAATCGATCTTTTACCAAGTTCATAAGCCTCTTCGTCGGATAGATCCCAGCGATATCCAGAATCTAATGTACCAAATGCATAAATTGAACCTGATCCTACGCTGAATACTTTTCCTGGTGTACGAGCACCTTCTGAATCAACATAATATAAACTAGGTCCTCTCTTGTCCCATCCAGCAAGCATCATACCTATTGTTTCATTAAATAATAAATATTTCATTATTTTTATTGAATAAATTTATTTAATAATTGACTCAAAAATAGAATCTTACCTATACTTAATCCCATTCCCTTGTAATTATATATCATATTTGATAAAAGTTTGCTGGCTGCTGCAATAGAAATACGTTCTCTATTTCTTAGTTCATATGTACGACATTGTTTTGCTAAAACACGATCCCAATAAACACAATCTGCAGCACCACCAGCTAATGTTCCAAGAAGATAATCATTGATTTCAACGATTTTCTTCATGCTGGATGAACCTACGATAAAAGTATTATAAATTTTTAATATTAAAAAATATAAAAAATATAATATAATATAATATAATATCTGGTATTATAATAAATTTACCGATAAATTGGCCTCCTGTTGCTCGTGAATCAACAGCAAGTACAATTCCACCTTGATATTGAAAACCCAGTGTGGTAGTACCATGATCAAATCTGATCTTTAGATGTTTTCCTGCTTCATCCGGTGCCTCTGCAAAGTGAGCCAATTTTTCTGCTGGCTACACATATCAAAAAATTGATTTAAAAAAAAATGATATAACATGATGTAGCAAATTTAAATTATAAGAATGGTTATGAAAAACGAATACAGATTGTATAATTTACTTACATTTATATATGGTGGCATTGCTAGTTGCGCATTATTTGTAAAATTTTTACTATATCCTTCAATTTCTCGCAAATAATAATCTTCTTCGCGAGAGGTATTAAAATTAACAAACGATTTTAAACCGCAAATTTCAGCAAGCGCCATTTTTGTAATAAGTTGTATGGTGTTGAATGCTTGTCATCTTATTAATTCGTATTTTCACGATAGAGAGCGCATTTGGCGCCATATTCTTTAGCGCCATTTTGCCGCGTAGATTTTAAGTTATTGCGTTTCATGAAGAGGTTTTGTGAGTTTTTTTAGTGAAATAAGTATTTTATACAAAAAAAAAGTGTGATTCAGTTTCATTATGTGTTCAAAAGATATAACGGAATAGATAAAAGTTACATATTAAAGGAGAAATGTAAGTAAAAATTATTTTTAATGAAATTTACATCGTATGGAATAAATTTCAGGTTATGAATAAAAAAAATAGGGTTAGTTTAAGTTTAATTCGTAAATAGAATTTGTATCAAAGTACTACATAAAAATGAATAACATTAACGAATAAAATAATTGTTTTTTCATAAAAAATTTTAAGAATATCTATTGATCAACTATTGTTAATACAGTTTACATATACATACATTCCGTTGCATTTATTTCTAGATTATTCCGACTGATGGCGTTAGTAGTACGTGAATTTGAAACGCAGAGGGGATTATCAGTTTGAATTCTCGCATCTTTTTGAGAAAATCGTGTAAACATCAAGAATTAGGTGAGAATTAAATTTATTTTGATCATTTATTTTCATATATTTTATTAACAAATATATAACATAAGTGTAGTAAATTTTTTTGTATATAATTGTTTTCAATTATATGTGTGGAAAACATAACCGCTGTTCTATCGCGTTCTAAGATTATTTTATAAGCGTAATATTTACTTCTCTCGTATTTCTTTCGTATTCATGAAAAAACTTTTATAATGCAGGACTGATTTATTACTACGGATTATCCGTATCAATAACGATAACGGGTTTCCCGAAAAAAAAAAAAAAAAGAAACCTTCGAACTTTTCGTTCGAATAGAACGCGGCCCGATCGGCGAGTTGACATATCGTTCCACGTGGAGGCGTACTCCACGGTCCATGTATCGCGTGATTTATAACATTAAGATAATCAAAAGCGAGGGCACGTCACATTTTGATACCGTCGGAGCACAAAATATGTTGGTGTTTCGGTAAAACGTTGTTAAATATCGCGTATTATTTTGCTCGTGGGGTCAGCGATATGACGTAGGCGTGATGAAGATGGGATCACGTGTAAGGGGGTAAGGCACATTACCGTATTCACTCATTGGTCTGAACCGTGATCGCACCACCCATATGGTCTACGCACGACGTGTTACAATACGAAATAAGATAATATATTACTGCATATTTTCCTTGCGATTCTCTGTATTAAAGCGGTCGATGTTTGCCTGCCATGGAACAACGATAACGATAACATTCTTCCACATTTTTCTAGTAATATTATCGTCGTTCTGGTCCCTTTCCAAACGCTCATTTAATGCATCGAGGAGAAATCGCGTAATCGGTTTCTCTCTTACAGATCGACTCGATCTTTTAATGGATTTTTCTGTTTCTCGTTGTATGGATCGTAACGTTCTATATAATCGTTTCGTTTATTTACGTTAAATCGAAATTGTTTATTGTATTGTATTTTTTTTATTCTCGCTGTTTATATTATCGGATCTCGCGTTAAATATCGCGTTATACGCACCAGTAAAAAACGGTATCTGAAGATAAGGGACGATAATGATCTTGAATTATACGCGAGACACCATCGAATTCTAATCAGATCTTTGTTCTGCAATATATGTATAATTCAAATCCGAGTTCTGCGTTGATTCTACGAATCAGCTGTGACCGCGGATCAGGTTTCTTCTTTCTAGTATTTTTACTTTTTATTACGGAAACGATTACACGCGAAATTCTTTCAATCTTTATACGGTCACGTGTAATGATTTTGATTGTGGGTTAAGGGCAGACAAGATCGGATTATCCGGAATACTTGGAGCGAGAAAGATAGTCTCGGACGTACTAATTGATACGATTATCGTATGAAAACTTTCCGACAACGTCGAACGATATCCACCATATATTTTTTGCTCGTGTATTTGCTTAGTTTTTTGAGTTTTAATTTCGCTATATTAATGATTTAAATTACATAGATTAATGGAACGAGACACTGGATGTCACACTTTTATAACAGATATTCATACATAATCACATGCTCGTCAAAAATTTATCGGGGAATTGGAACCTCGTTTTCAAAAAATTCGATATAAGGTCAAATAACCGATAGATATTGATGGAATTCCCGAAGACGAAGCTCTACCACCGGATAAAATGTTCGATAACGCGCAAATGCATTTGATGTTCGAATAGAAGAAGCTGACCGTTTTATCGGGTTTTAAGGGTCGTCGAGGTCGATGGTGCGACTCGAAGATTCGATAAAAGTTAAAACTGCTTTCTCATTCTACCGCTTCGTCCGAGTCCTTCGATCGTCATTTTCCTTAATGTTTTCTCACCAAACTTCGTATATATATATATATATATCATATATTTTCATGATTCGATCGATCTCAAAGTTCATGTTGGCGATTTTATTCGTGGAGAAAAAAGGAAAAAAAATTACAGACGTAACATGTGCGTAAGGGATGATAACTTTGACGGGGGAAAATAAACATTAATACGGCCGATGTTGTTGATTCACACATTGATACGGACATTGACGTGGACAAAACATGTTTTCTCCGATGTTATTGCGTATCAATGAATATATTAACGAATGTTCGTTTTTACATCTCATGTTCAATTATCCCTTTTTATTTTTCGAGGATTTGTTGTTCTCCTCTTCACTCTTGCCATTGATTTAATCTTTCTTTCTCTCTCCCTCTCTCTCTCTCTCTCTCTCTCTCTCTCTCTCTCTCAATCTCGATTCACGCGTTGCCGGTTACTGACGAAACTCGCAAATTAAAGTTTCCTACTAAAAAAATCTTAATACTTATCTAAATGAACCGCCGATACAAGTCTCGTTGTCGTGTAATATGGAAGACTCGTGACCGACTGATGATTCACGATGATCAGCGAGCGAAAAGATGCTGGCTGGTTCGTGTCATTGTCGGGGTTCAACGTTCAATTCGTGCAAGGACGCGAGCTTTGCTACCAAGACACGAGTTCACGAGCGCGCGGAAAAGTCAAAGAGAGGCGGCTTATGTTATCGGGAAGCGGTTGAACCGGCTTACGAAAAAATCGGAAAGGTCCTTGGAACCTACACGTGCGGCATATTATTACGCTGTTTCCATCTCCATCTTCTTCAACCGACAATAATTAAGCGCCTGTTCTAAAATTAACAACCATATCTTCGCACTAGGTTAATCTTTTCTCGAAACGAGGAGAGCTATCTGAGGTTAATTTCGAAAAGGCTTCGATCCGTAATTACGAACCGCGAAATAAACTCCCCTAAAAATTACTCTTTCCTCGAGGAAAAAAATTATTGGAAAAAAAATTATTTTTAACTTTGATTCGATGATTGCCTATAAACTGGCAAAAAAAAAAAAAAAAAAAAAAAAAAAAGAAGGGGAAAAGAAAAGGATTCAACAATTACAAATACACGCGAAACATCAATCCTGCAACGTGTAATTTTCACGTGTATATGCGCGCGTGTACGCGCGCGCCATAGAAATCGAAACGCCTGCTTGTTCGTTATCCACTCGCGATTACGAGAGATGGTCTGAGATGGTAATTAAGATGGTTGCATCAGCAACGATGAACATAGGGCAACCCCTCTAACTAAACTCGCCTCGATAACACGTCTCTTCCCGATAACTCTCACGAGGGATACACGAGGCCCCCCGAGACTCGTGCGCGATATAATTCACGAGCCTCTCTCACCGGTTTTCGTGCTCGTGTAGCTGGCGCGGGGAGCGAATGTAATTTTACATCGATCGGTATACGCACTTATTCCGCTCGAGTGACGATTTGACTCGGTAATAATCGCGCGCCGGTAATTACGCAACGGGGTAGAACTCGGCACGATCGTTGAGTAAGAGACGAGGTGAAGGTGAGCAGTTAGCGGCGAGAGTAGCAAGTAGCGGCCGCCAGCGGAGCAAACTGCAGCTGATCGACGATCGGCTACCGTCGGTGGACCAACGACCGCGGTGTTCCATCTCGATCACCGATTTCCCACCTTTCCTTTTCTCTCTCTTTCTCTCTCTCTCTCTCTCTCTTCGTGTCGTGGAAAAAAAGGCGCGACACGTACTCTCCTCCACGTATACATACATGCACGCATACGCGAAAGCGTTAATGCAACCGGCGTAAAACGTTTTCTTCTTTCATCATTTCAGAGGGGCGTTTAGATAATTGAACCGTTTCACCCGTGGAACTCGTGATACAAGTATGCTAATCGAGGTCGCAGAGTCCGTTTTTGTGTCTTTACGCGCGGGAATTATATGAATTATCTTGATCGCAGATTCATTCAGGTGTAGGTGTGATACGCGAAGGAAGAGAATTGAAACTTTTTTTTTTTGTAAGGAGAACTATTAACGTCCGAAGACAGAGATACAACAGAGAGAATGTCCGAGAGCATGATGCAATAACGAATTCGAAGTTGTGTTTTCGCGAACACATTTTTTTCGCGCGGAAAATATTTTCTTCTTCCTCTCCCTTCGTAAAAATTCTTCTGTAAGAAAGAAGAGAAAAGAAATGGGAAAAAATTGAACGCGGCCACGATCGTTATCGATATCTCCATTTATCGAAGGTAGCCGGATCAGGGAATACCTGGAGATCCGAATGTCGAAATCTCGGTTAGCGCTGACTCGTCACACCGGACTCGTATACAAGCGTGCCCACTCGGTGGAACGTGTAGGCACGAGTGGGCCTGATAAAGGTAGGTGTGCGGATATGCATGTAGGGGGTTTTACGAGGAAAACGACAAGAACCGTAACCTACTTCTTCGGGAGCCGTATGCGGGGTAAATCGTCGCGGGGCCGGGTGTTTCTTGGAATTTGTGTAGTCATCAGATACAGAAAAGTGTCCTTCCCGTGTCCCAAATCTTCCATCACCTTGATATCCATCGAGTCAGCGAATTTTAACGCGAATTAATTACAACAATTCGCCAAGTTTACACGGGCTACTTTTATCGAGGAGGACAATCTCTCTCT